AGTGGGATGGGAGAATGAGCAAACACAAAAAGAATCCCATGATAATAATCTGTTATGGTGACAAGGACATTCAATACACAAATCCAGAAGAAGAAAATGACTCCAAAGCATGCATAAGTAAATCCTCAAAAAAAAAAGTGTGGGTACAAATTCAACTGGAATTTCTGAAAAATATGAAGACTTTTAAAAAAAGTTAAAAATTTTTTAAATAAAAAGAGAGCACTAAAGAAAAAATTAAAAGAGAAATAAGAACAACAAAAGAAAGTACTAGAAGAGAAATTAATGGCTGTGGCACCAAAAATACAAACTTTGCCCAAGAAACAAACTCCCTAAAAATTAGAATGGACGAAAAAGAAACAATGATTCCATGAGACAACAAAAAAAATATTAGAACAAAATCAAAAGGCTGAAAAGATGGCAGAAAATATAAGGCATCTCAATGCAGAAACAACTGACCTAGAAAACAGACTGAGGAGAATAAAATGTAAGAATCACTGAACTATGTAAAGACTATGCCCAAAAAAAGAGCATAGACATCATAAAGTAATACCAAATAGGGGCAGATAGGTGTCACAGTAGATAGAGTACCAGCCCTGGAGTCAAGAGGACCTGAGTTCAAGTCATATCTCAGACCAGATACTTAACACTTACTAACTGTGTGATCCTGGGCAAGTCACTTAACCTGAATTGCCTTACAAAAAAAATATATAGTTAAAAAAAAAAAAAGTAACAGAAAAATGAAGCAAGCTTTTATTTGGTTTCTCCCCCTACTAATAATGGCCTCCAACTTATAATATTACGCTTAATATAATATAATATAACATATATTATATAATATATATAATATATAATATAATAATATAATATAATAATATAATCCAAATTTACTCCTATGTTTCTATATTTTCAAAACACCAGATGTATCCATTATCAGCAAATCCTAAAGAATGTTTATCCTTTAGGAAGATCACTGTCAGTCCTCATCACCCTAATACTGTCCCTCTCCACTTTAGGCATCATATTTTCCCACTGACTAACAAAATCAGAATAAAACTCATACCTAAACTGTCCATGAAGAATATTCCAGATTGTTCATTAAGAGTTAAGACATTGATCATTATCTTACTTATCTTTCCACCTTCTCCAGTTCCTAGTACAACATATGGCACATAGCAGTTGCTTAATAAAAGCTTCGTGAAGAAATATAATGATCCACTATGATCTTTGCTTCTTTTCATCTCGAATCCATGACATTCAGCTTTATCATGCTATCCAAATTGCTATTGCTAATGCCACTGTCTACTTCTTCCCTGGACCTATTTCTATTTTTCTGTCAGACTTTTAACACCCTGGTTCATCTTTTTCTTCTCTAGACTGAACCCTACTATCATTCTAGCTGACCCCTCAGCTTCACAATCTCTTACTCTCTTTCACTGCTGTTCAGTCACATCCAACTCTTCAGGAGGCTAATGCCACCCACTAGCCTGGCCCACTAGACCTTGTCACCACACCGCACTGCTACACTACTATGATCTCAAATTGAATGTTCCCTGTCTCTGATTACAAATTTGTTACATACTCACTCTCTCTCTCCCTTCTCCCAATACCCCTTAAAGCACTCTTTTCTACCCACATGGGAGCTTCCAATTATACAACCATTCCCACTTACTGGTTCTGTTAGCTCCCTTACAGGCATACCTTTGAGATATTGTGGGTTCTGTTCCAGACCGCTGCAATAAAGTGAAGATTGCAATAAAGTGAGTCACACAAGTTTTTTGGTTTCCCAATGCATATAAAAATTATGTGTATACTATATTGTAGTCTATTAAGTGTGCAATAGTATTATGTCTAAAAAGACAATGTACATATCTTAATTAAAAAATACTTTGTTGCTAAAAAAAAATGCCAACCATCATCTAAGCCGTCAGCGAGTCATAATTTTTTTTTTTTTTGCTAGTGGAGTCATAATCTTTTTGTTTGATGTTGATGGCTGCCGACTGATCAGACAGGTGGCCTAGCTTTTGGTGTATCTCGGCTTTTGATATGCCTTCCTCACTAAGCTTAATCATTTCTAGTTTTTTATTTAAATTGAGAGATGTGTGACTCTTCCTTTCACTTGAACATTTAGAAGCCATTGTAAGATTATTAACCGGTCTAATTTCAATACTGTTTTGTCTCAGGGAATAGAAAGGCCATGGGAGAGGGACAGAGATGGGGGAATGGCCTGTTGGTGGCACAGTCAGAACACACACAGCATTTATTAAGTTTGCCGTGGTTCATAACACCCCAAAACAATTACAATAGTAACATCAAAGATCACTAATCACAGACCACTATAACAGATATAATAATGGTGGAAAAGTTTGAAATACTGCAAGAATTACTAAAATGTGACACAGAGACATGATATGAACACATATTGTTGGAAAAATGGTGGTGACAGATTTTTTCAATGCAAGGTTGCCACAAACTTGCAATCTGCAAAAAAGGCAATATCCACAAAGTGTAATAAAGTGAAGCACAATAAAAAAGGTATGCCTGTATATGACTCCCTCCTTAACTTTGATTGCATATACTCCCTTAATTATTTCATATGAATGCATCTTATCTCCACAACTAGATAGCAAATTTTTCAAGGGCAAGGCCTATGTCTTACAATTGTATTGTATCCTCCTCAGTGATAAGTAGAACTATGCACACAGCAGGCACTCAGTAAGTACCTGCCAAATTAATTCTTTAAACCACAGAACCCACTGGCCAAAGATATAAAGTTGGAATAGAAAGTAAAACTACCCAACAACTGTACAGGGCGCGCACTTCATGGTTTCTAGCATTTTACAAACCGTAAGACAAAAGTATTCTTTCCAGAGATATAAAGAAAATAAATAGAATTAGAAGATATGGTATGAACTACTCGGAAGTATCCTATATATGTATAGGGAGCATCCCCAAGAGGCGTAGAGATTCCTTTGACAAGGTTAATGCTTTATTAAGGTTAATTCCTTGTTTTCGAGATTTACACAGATGGAGCCTTGTTCTGGCATTGACAATGTCTGTATGAGAAGGTATGAATGTGCTTTGTCCTAAGAATCACTAAGTTAACCACACTTGTCCAATAATTATCTCATGCCTGAAGTTAAAACCTGAGCTATACCCAAGGATGTAGCCTTTTTTTTTAAAGTAAGTTTTAATTGAAGTCTTCTATTTCTCATATCATCATAGTTATCTCTATCTCCCAGAGAGCCATCCAACAGAATAGTATTTTTTAAGGTGTAAAAAAGAAAAAAAAATCTGCACAACTGATTAATATATTGAAAAGTCTGAAAACATGTGCAATGTGCAACACCAGTAGACTTCCTACCTCTAGAAATAACCTTCTCCCCCTCCCCCACCAAGGCAATCAGGGTTAAATAACCTGCCCAGGATCACACTGTTGGTAAGTGTCAAGCATCTGAGGTGCACAGTTTGAACTCAGGTCCTCCTGACTCCAAGGCTGAAACTCTATCCGCTTCACCACCTAGCTGCCCCTAAACATAATCTTTTAAAAGGGACAAGACTGGGGCAGTTAGGTGGCACAGCTGATAGAGCTCCAGCCTCAGAGTCAGGAGGACTGGGTTCAAACCCCCCACCTCAGATGTTTGACACTTACCAGCTGTGTGACCCTGGGCAAGTCATTTAACCCCGACTGCCTCACCAAAAAGTAAAAGAGACAAGATGAGCCTGGAGAGACAGAGGGAAGCTAGTCACAGGGACTCAGATCCTTGGAGGCAAGCCTTCATCTCCCTGTGGTCCCTACAAGGTCCTGTGTATGCTAAGAGATCATGTATTCTACAGCTTCAGAGACAACAATGGATGGAGACAGCAATAAGCCTCCAATGAACCAAGCCAAGGAGGCTGCAGGAACTGGAGCCAGCAGCCGGGGAACAGCAATGGCAACGCTATGGAGCAGCGGCTGGAACAGTAAGGGAGCGGCCACCACGTGGAAAAGGAAAGCAGAACTTTGTTCTTAATTAGTACCGTGAGCTCCATGCACCACGCAAGCGCAGTGAAGCGATGACGTTGACTCTTGCAACCCTGAGTGTCTTTCCCTTGTGGAGAATGCAGGGGCTCAACTCCAGGGTGGAACTCAAAGTCTGGAAGAGTGTTTGGTCCCTGGCCCCTTCCGCCATTGGGCTCCGCCTCCCTTAGTGACCTAAACAGACAGCTCTTCTGATTTAAACTACTACCCTGGGGTGAAGTTCGTCTTCAAGATGGAGTTAACTCAGTGATGCCCAGAATAAGGAAAGTTCATACTTCACAAAAAAAACACCCAACATACCTAAACAAAGGTTTCATCTGCCTTAACATTGTTAACAAGTGCTTAACTTTGTAAAGTGAATCTTAAGTCCTTAAGGAAATAGAAGGATTCAAGAGGGAATTCTCCCGGGCATAACTCCTCTCTACATTCCACTTATTAATGCAATTCCTGGACTAACGACGCTTCAGAATTAGATCTGAGTCAGATGATATAGGGGAGTACTAGGACTGTCTGGCGCACAGTGTCATAGGTCGAGGGCCGGAAAGGACCGCGGAGATCATCTAGTGCAAACCCTTCTTTTTGCAGATGAGAAAGCTGCAGCCCACAGAGGTTAACTGGCCTGTCCAGGGTCATGCAGCTGATATATCAGAGCGGGGACCAGAAGCCGGGTCCCCGACTTGAGGATTATCCCAAGACTTTCCCCATTAAAGTAAACGATGTCTAAGTAAAATATCCACCGTATCCACTCTATCCACAGTAAAGATGTCGTAAGGCATTGCAGAATCATAGAATGAGAGATTTCAAGCTGGATGGGGACCTCAGCAATTATCTAGTCCAATCTCCACCTTTTAAAGAGGAGGAGGCTTGGCCCAGAGCAGGTAAATCCCTTACCCAAGATTACAGACATAGTAAGAGACTAGGCCAGGACCTGAACCCAGGTTCTCTAGCCTTCGTTTCATCGTACTTTAAAGAGAGTCTTTACCTTGGCTTCTTGCTCTTCCAGGAAAACCTCCATTAACTCAAGTGAAGTCTCCCCAGCACAGCCTTCCTGCCCATCCTGATGTAGTAGAATCCTGGTAATGGGGCTTCCCAGATCATTCATTTCCCCTTCTACAGAGTTTCCATTGTCCTGTCAAGAAAAATGATAGTGTAAGAAACCAACTGGCCCAGCCACAGACCTAAAATCTGAAACCAGAAAACTCTACTAGCCACCTAAAATACATGTGGCCACTTCTCCACTGGGCTGGAACTAGAACACAAAGTTTGAATTCTGATCCAAAAGAAATGTGAGAGAATAATAATAAATCAGTAACTTAATCTATCCCTCAGGAGAAAATCAGTTTAAAAATAAAATCAAATCACAATCAAGATCATTTCCCCCTCTATGAGGCATTGTATGTCACCTTTAAATTAAGGCTGAAAGGTCTAAGACGGTCCTCTATTATTTTGGGTCCTTACTGATTTTGAGACATGATTCAAGCAGATGGCATTTGTTTCAATAATGATCTGCTTTGTCTAACCTGTTTGCTCTATCAGCTTTGCCTCCGCCACCTCTCGCCAGTCCAGTTTTGAATAACTAAATGTGTAATAAGCTCAGATCTTCCAGAAGGTACACTCCTTTGCAGATGATCATAGGGCTCAGAAGGCTGACACTTACCACTCGAAGAAGAGGAGACAAGAGGGGTCTTTTTGATCTTTCTCCAAGTCTAAAGGATCCGAGTGTTGGCCGTGTAGGGTGTTCCAGAAAGCTGCTCTCCTGCACAAAAAAGAAGAGCTGGTGTTGAGTGAGGGAGAGTGAAAAAGAGGTGTTGGCAGGCTCGACACCTGCTTCTCATTTGACTCTATGATGGAAGAAATTCTTCCTCCCCATCTTCCACAGGATACAAACATTTTAAACAGATCTTTTTATTCTTTAGACAAAAATTATATGATACTACGGGATGTGAGTACATTGTGCATGCTAATTTTATCATGACAGAATGATATCCTCATAGGCTAAATATGGCTACAGAAAGGAAGGGTGGCTGGTAGGAAAAAGGAGAGAGTGAAATAATCTGCTGAAAAGAGGCAGCAAAAAGGAGCTATAAGAAAACAAAAAGATGAAAAAGTTTGAGGTCAAAAACACTGCCTTGGGTAAGGAGGTCCAGGGAAACGGATGAAAGAGGTGCTAGTTAAGACATTCTGAGGAGCAAACAACTAGCTTAGTGTTAATATAGCTGTGGAAATAGTAAAGATTTGTGCTTGGGGTCCTGGTAGAGAAGACACACCTTCATCAGAACAAGTTTGAAGTAAAAAAGTCAAACCTGCATAAAAAGCCACACCAAGCAGTGTCTGGGACTATAAACTGCTGTTAACCTGCTTTTCTGTATAGGCTCACCAATTTCTCACCCTCCAGTACAGTGTGTAACACTGTAGAGTGTTAGAGTACACTCTAAACAACTGAATGAACATGAGGTTCTGGCTGCACCAATGTGCAGAGGGAGAGGCTTCAAGTGTAAATTTAAAAACTAAAGAAAAGACAGGGGTAGGGACTAGCCCTGTTATTTCATTAATAAAAGGAATTCACAGATGAACCCCCTCTATCAATACAAGTCCATTTAAAGAGTGCTTAGAAGCACAGTCAACTCTTCATTTCCCATCAGCTGCTCTCCTTGGATTCGACTCCACCATCATCATGACCCCATACCAGGTACCTCCTCTTTCTCCTCCTCCTCCATCCCCATCCCCTTTCAGCTTTCTTTTATAAGCTGCCTTCCCTTGTTCAGCTGTAAGCTCCTTGAGGGCCCGGACTACCTTTCTTTTTCTTATAGTATCCAGAGCTTAGCACAGTGTCTGGCAAGTGCATAAGAAATGCTTATTGTGTTGCACCATATTCAAGAATTGCCTCAAGCACTGTAGTTAACTGACTTGCCCAGAGTCACACAGACAGTATGTATCAGAGGTAGGACACAGGAAGAATCCCTTATATTTCCTTAGCTGGAAGTAGAAAAGATTAGCAGCAAACAAAGGTGCCTTCCATTTGCTAGTGTTCATCTCCAACCAATATAGGGAACAGGGATAGTACACTTGCCAGATGCTGCTCCAATCATCGACTTAGGCAGAACCATGTTCACACAGATACTAATGGGTATTTCCACCCACAGGAAAGTGATTAGTGTTTCGGAGAGCAATTTGAAACTATGCCCAAAAGGCTATAAAAATGTGCATAGCCTTTGACCCAGCAATAGCACTTCTAGAGCTGTATCCCAAAGAGATCATAAAAATGGGAAAAGGACCCGAATGTACAAAAATATTTATAGCAGCTCTTTTTGTGGTGGCAAAGAATTGGAAATTGAGGGGATGCCCATCAATTGGGGAATGGCTGAACAAGTTGTAGTATATGAATGTAATGGAATACTGTTGTGCTATAAGAAATTATGAGCAGACTTCAGAAAAACCTGGAAAGGCTTGTATGGACTGATGCTGAGTCAAGTGAGCAGAACCAGGAGAACACTGTACACAATAACAGCCACATTGTTAGATGACTAACTTTGACAGACTTAGCTCTTCTCAGCAATGCAAGGATCTAGGACATCTCCAAAAGTCTCATGGTGGAAAATGCAGTCCACATCCAGAGAAAGAACTATGGAGTTTGAATGCAGATCGAAGCATGCTATTTGCTTTTTTTTCTCTTCTCTTCTGTTTTGTTTATTCTTTCTTGTGATTCCTCCTATTGGTTCTAATTTTTTTTTGTTTTGTTTTAGGCAATTGGGGTTAAGTGACTTGCCCAAGGTCACACAGCTAGTAAGTGTCAAGTGTTTGGTCTGAGGCCGGATTTGAACTCAGGTCCTCCTGACTTCAGGGCCGGTGCTCTATCCACTGTGCCACCAAGCTGCCCCTTATTGGTTCTAATTCTTCTTTACAACATAACTAATGTGAAAATATGTTTAATAGGAATATATGTTAGATATAGATAAAGAGCCTATATCAGATTGCACACAGTCTTGGGAAGGGAGGTAGGGAAAGAGGGGGAGAAAATTTAAAACTCAAAAGCTTATGGAAGTGAATGCTGAAAACTAAAAATAAATTAATAAAATAAAAAATGTCAAAAGTGATTAGTTGACCTCTCCTTCTCCAAAATGCTTGGAAAAAGGGGACCCAGCAAAACACCCAAACCACCCAGTTTGTGAGCAAACTGGTTGAGTTCCTACCCTGCACTGAACACTTACATTTTCTTTGTCTGAAGAGTAGCTACCTGTTGTACTTGTCTTTTGGCAGAAGAAACCAAGAGCACTGGGAGTGCTACACAGCATCTGTGCCTGCAAGAGATCCAAAGCGCAGCTTTCTAGGGATGCTGATCCACACGCAGCATCCTAGAGCTGCAATCTGGTTAGAATGCCCGACCCCCATCTCCTATGAGAAACAAACCTCATAAAAAGCCAGTACTCACAGGGATGCATTTCCTAATATGCTGTGGATGATCCCTGCAAAGAACACATTAGACAGCAGTGAACCCCCACACCAATCTCCTCTTATCATTTGGGAAATTCCAAAATGCTTCCTTTTCCTTCTATCCTAGGTACTCTGGACCTGAGCTAGCCATTTCCTTGGTCATTACCTGACATGGTAGTATTATATGTGATATCTGAAGGGTAAGACTATTCTCAAGTACTCTTTCCTCTCATCATTTCATTTGCAAAACTATATGCATAGATATGTCTCAATGATGAATCAGTTTGAATCATCTTTTTTTTTTTTTTTTTAAAAACTGGACCTGCATTTCTTTGGTATATGAAATACTCAGTGAGGAAACTTCCTTTACCAATTCAGGTAACAAGTTGCTCACCAATTTACAGTCTTCAAGAGTTGTCTGGAGTAGGGATAGGTTAAGTGACTTGTTCAAGGCCACACATGCATTCTATGTTGGGGGCAGAACCTGAATGTAGGTTTTCCTGACCAAGGCCAGCTTTCTACCACTGTCATGCTACCTCTTATGTACTCATCTTATGCAAACAGCATTAGGCTACTTTTAAATTTTCATATATTTTCTTTCCTGTCTCTTTACTGTTGCCATCTATTCCAATCTTATAATTTGCCTTTGCCTGAATTCTTCATATTTTAAGCCAGACTTGTCTATACTACATGGGTTGGACATGTAAAACAAATGAGAAAAAAAATCAAGATTTTCATATGTGCTAATAAAAATCCAGTGTAGTGAAAAATAGTATACAATTCACCTAAATAATTAAGCGGCAAGCTCTGAAGGGATTCAAACATATCAGTCCCTTTGTCCACTGCCCATTGGAGGAGCAGCCAAGTGAAATGTAAAGGCTCATAGGCCCAGGGGAGGCAAAAGACCTCAGAAATAATTTGGTCCAACCTCCTAATTTTACAACTGAGAAAAATAAGGTCCAGACAAGTTAAGCAAATTGTTCTAGGTCACATAGACTGTAAATAGTAGAGACAAGTTCTCAACCCAGATCCTTCTGAATTCAACTTCCTCTGCTCTTTCCACTGTAATTACTTTGCATTTGTTGAGTACATCCACACTAAATAATAATGGGAGGTCACATGGAATGTGCCAGGTACCAAGGGGAAGGAAACTGATTTGCTATTAAATTTTACACCAGATAATCCATCTGCGAATACAAGTATAACACTGTCTTTCATATTCAAAGATATTATGACTCTAATGGCTATTTGTATCTATGAATAAAAAGATCTGCAGTCTCTTCCACATTGCATATATGTTATATATGCATTTTCATTTTACTTCTTTCCTGTGACATTAATATTTAATTATGTCCTGTTTCAGGAACGGAAAAACTTGAAAAGAGAAAAGCATTCAGGCCATAAAGACCATCTACAACCTACAGTAAAAATTTCTTTATTTTACAAAATGCCTGAAAAAGATAAAATCCAAGCTGTCCCATAGATAACTGGGTGTGATTAAAAAAAAAAAAGCTTCAGAGTGGAGGTATTTAATAAGTCCCAGGACTAGTAACTTACATTTCAGCTAGGTGTACTTCTTGAGGTCCTAAGGAAGCCAAGTTACCTGTAACCAGACAAAAAGAGTCAATGACAGGTTGGCAAAATCTTCTGCTCAGTGTTTTCAAACTATAGTACTGAGATACATTAGTGCACCACAAAGATGTCAATGGCATATCACAACATGCTAGTTCTCCTCCTAACTCAAACTCCAGTTCCTCCTTTCTTTCCCCATGAGCTACTCCAATCGTTAATCTGTATCACTGATAATTCACCCTCTTGAATGGGGACCAAATTAGGAGTCAGCCAAGTATAAGTAGCCTGTAATTGTTTAGAGGCTGCCTAATTCAAAACAACAAAATGATCACTATTGCTAGGTTCTGTGTATACAGGTCTCCCCCACCTCTTCAGCATACCCATTATTTTTAAAGACCGAGTTCCCCATTCCCTTTAAATACAGCACTACCCACATCACAAAATGTGAGCTCCTTAACAATAGGGAGTATCCCTTTTATATCAGTATTTCTAGCACCTAGTATGGTGCCTGGCACATCGTAGCCTTTTGACGAAAGTTTAATAAATGATCAATTTTCATCACTACCAAATTTCATCTAACACACTTCTTCCCCCAACTAGGTATTCCATGGTAAACTTGGAAATTTCTAAGTGTGTTATCAAAAGAAAAAAACCTCATAAACACCTCAGGATGTTTTCCACAGGAAGGAAGGAAGCTATAGAATTCAGGAAATCTGAAAGTAGATCAAATGTTGGGATGAATGCTGAAGAAAATAATCTTCACTCTAGAGGACAGAGACCTTCTACAAACATCAGGTTTTGGTTTTAAAAAAGGGTCTCTGTGCTATTGATCTCCTCAGTTCTTTAGAAACTAGACTAGAGCACTAAATCAAATCTCACCTGGGTCACTGGCCTTCTACTGTCAACCAATCAAGAAAAACTGGATTCTCTCCCTTGAATTAGTGCCACAAGTATTAACTGTTATTATAGTCCTTTCTTAGATACTGTTTTGAGCATGTCAAAATATTTCAAGGGGTCTCCCTAATTCCCCTCAGATAAAATTTCTAATTTTTTCTTCAAGTTCCTTTACCAACTTTTCCCATCTTACTTCTGCTCTTCTCTCCTTAGATATAAATAAGCTATCCTTCCCATAGAAGCCTTTTTGCCTCGTTTCCTCCTACCAGTTTCATCAAGGTCTGGCGATGTGGCAAGCTGGATGGCAGCTGTCTCTTCAATGCTACTATTCGACAAGTCAAGGCAACGCTTTGGGGTTGCTCTGCAGTCATTTAAAAAAAAAAACAACAGCATCAAAATCCTTGTTAGAATGGAACCTTCTCAAAGGCAAGGCCTGTGTCAATGTCTTATTTTATAACACTCCAAAGTCCCTAGTCCAAACCAGGTTTTGGTAAGATCAAAGAAAGAGGATCTATTTACACAAAAATATTTATAGACAAACACTGGACACTAAGGGACTGTCCCTCTGGTGGGGAATGGCTAAACAAATTATTGTATGTGACTATAATGGAATATTAGTATGCCATAAGAAATGAGGAAAGAGACAACATCAGAGGGAACTGCAAAGACTTTTACGAACAAATGCAGAGCAAAGCGAGCAGAACTAGAAGAATAACTTACATGCTGATAACATTATAGGGGAAAATTTTGAATGATATTAGATCTCTGATCAGTGCAATGAAGATGAAAATGGCACTTACCTCCTGACAGAGAAGCGATGAACTTAAAATGCAGAGAGAAAGAGACATACATTTTTGGACATGGAAAATATGGGAACTTATTTTGTTGAATTATGTAGATACATATTGAGGGTTTTGTTTGTTTTCAGTTTGCTCAATGAGGAGGGAGTAGAGGAAAAGATCGACTAAAGAAAGCTTATTTGAAACATAAAATAACAAAAAATTCTCATAGTCCAAAATCAGATCATATTATCGGCTTTCCAAATTTCATAGAACTACCTAAGAACGGAAAAACTGAATTGAATGACAAGACTAAGAAAAACTCTCATCTCTTCATTATTCTAATAGCACCTCTTACTGATTGCTAAACACTCCCCTCAACATCATGGTGCACCAGGATTCAATTCAATTCAACTCAGCAAACATTAAGTCTCTGCTATGTGCAGGGTACCGGGTCAGACATCGAAGATACAAAGGAATAAAAGGTGGGGTGGGAGTTCCTACTCTCAAAGAGCTTATATTCTTATCAAGGTGATAGAATACATACATGGATAAGTAAATAAAATGTTTGTAAAAGTAATTCCAAGATGTGTAAAACATTAACTACTAAGCTGAGGATTTTACATTTTATCTTGGAGGATATAGGGTTGGAGATTCTTGAGAACGGAAATAACAAGATCAGATCTACATGTTAGAAATGCCAATTTGGCAGACATGAGGAGAACAGAATGGAGAGAAGAGAGACCAGAAGAAGGAATTAGGGTATTATTACACTTGATCTGTCCATCCCAGATAGCTTTCAACCTCTCTCTCTCCTCCCTTTCATGGCCTTCATTACCTCACACCTAAACTACTGAAACAGTCTTTTGATTGGTCTTCCTGGTTGAGAATCTCTCCCCCTCCCAGTCCATCTTCCACTCCACTATCAAAGTGTCTAAGGTGCAGGTCTGACCATGTCATCTCCCTATGCAATAAGCTGTAATGGTTCCTTATAACCTCCAGGATCAAATATAAAAACTGCCTGTTTGGCTTATAAATCCTTTTTAACCTTTTCAGTCTTCTTACACCTTACCCCCCCCCCCCTCCACATACTCTACAACCCATCAGTACTGGTCTTGCTATTCCTCCCACGTGACACTCCACGTCCCTACTTCATGCATTTTTATTTGCTGTTTCTCTTGTTTGAGATACTCTCCCTCTTCATCTCTGCCTCTCGGCTTCTCTCTGAAATTATCAACAATTTACAATTGTATATATCTTGTTTGTACATAGTTGTTTGCATATTTTCTTCCCCATTAGACTGTGAGCTCCTTGATAGTACAAACAGTTTTTGCTTTTCATTGCATCTCTATTGATTAATACATTGCATGGCATTACAGGAACTTACTAAATATTTGTTGATTCGAATATTCCAACAGTCCGGGCCAGAGGCAATGAGGTTCTGAACTAGAATTGAGATGGTTTGGATGGAGAGAAAGGAGCAAATGAAAGAGTTGCTGCACAGGTAGAATCAACAAAACTTGGACCTGATGGAATACAGGGGATGAGGGACAGGAGTCAAGAATGAGTCACTCCAAATATGAGCTATCTGGATCAGCGAACAAATATAAGAAATAGTAAAGGGCAGTAGTAAAAAAGTAGATGTACCCTGTTAAAGAACTGAGGTTTCCAGAATCAACAAGGAACTTGCTAGATGGGGTCTTGGGAAGTTCTGAGCAAAAGGAAAAGGAAGCATCTTTCTCTAGAAGCAAGTTCAGCTTCTCTCTGCAGTTAGACCTGAAGCAGGATCTGAAGGGAGTCCCAGACATGGCCTCAAAAGAATCTTATCCTGGGAAAAAATGAGTCCCTGAAAATCAAAGAGAAAATATATCTCAAATGGATATTCATATCACAAGCCATAACCCTCTTCTCCCACATATTCTCTTCACTCAAATTATCCACCAAGAAGACAGCAATCACTAAGATCAACAGTGGAAACAAAAGGAAAAGTCAGTAGTCCCCAGTTGCCAAAAGGAATGAGCAACATGCTACCAGAGTGGAAAGAGCACTGGATTTGATGTCTGAAGACCTGAGTTTCAGTCAGAGATCCTGCCACTTTCTACTTGTAGGACCTACTCAAGTCCATTCCTTTCTCTGAACTTCAGTTTCTACATTGGTAAAATGAAAATAATAATGCCTACCTTACTCCACAAGGGTCTTGTGAAGAAAGTATACTCTGTAAACTAAATTGATACAGAATGAGAGTGACTAGGAACAGAGCCTAGAACAAAAGCAAATTCTCTGCTGCCCAAAGGGACAAATCTTTCTGCTCTCAAGGGTCACCCCCTAAAAACCACTCTGAATATTGTGTGAGGACTCGGCGTAGTACAGTATTAAAAAATTTGAAATCAAAGGAACTGCTATTTACTATACTTATGATCTTGGGCACAAGTCACGTCCCTTCACTGAGCCTTAGACTCCCCCTCTGTAAAAACAAATACGTTGGTAAACAGAAGATTGTGTCATTATAATAATCAAGTTTGGCAAAGAGATGAGAAAAAACACACCTCTCTCCCTTCTTAGAAGAGGCTGATGTTCTGGGCCAGCCCAGTGATTCAGACTTGGAGTCAGAAGATGATATCCAATCATCAAATACAAGAAAAATGATTAATAGCAAAGTTAAAAAGGATATAGTTCCTAATATTTAAAAAAAGATAGTAATCCACCCCACAATCTTCCACAAAAAGGAAAACATAGGCACTGAAGAATAGGAATTCTACTAAAAATCTTCCACACCAACTCCCCATTGGCTGGGCCTCAGGTGGCAAAAAAGTCAAACTAATGATAATCCCCAGAATGGTTTCCTCACCTCCTTAATGGAAAATTAGCTCAGCTTACCTAAAACAGGTGCAGCTCATACCAAAACGGGGGGGGGGGGGGGGGGGGGGTTGTGGGCGGAAGAATATCGAATACATATGCTATCAGGCTTGACTGATACATTAATTTTGTTCAACTGCATTCTACCAGTCCCCTCCCTGCCCTACCTCTTAAGTTTCTACCTTCACTTTCTATAGGTGAAGTAGAACAAATACATAATGATTACACACTGTAATGTCAAAACACAGCTACATATTTTTAAAGTTGGAAGAAAAATGGATGGTATGAAGTAACATCCATCAGAAAGAAGGTTGTCTGCACAAGTTTATCAAAATTTCATAATAAAAAGTTTAACAGTTGGCATTTATTCTTCTATACCTGCTTTGCTGATATGCTATATTCTCTTATTGTTTAGCTCTCTAAGGTAAGCTGCTCCTGGCCTACAAAGCCACCAACTTCGTCATTGGGAAAATCCCTTTCCCTCTTTCTTAGTTCACTTCAGTTAGTAATTTAGGACGTTAGGCACGTGTATTTATTTACATGCATTTAACCCTAACAACATCTATGAGATAGAAATGTGATCCTCATTTAATAGATTGAGGTTTCCTACTCTGCAAAATGAGAGGACAGGACTGATGGAGGCCTGGCTAAACAAAGAAGTACATGAACATATTATTATTGCACCATAAGAAACAATGAATTAGGAAGAATTCAGAGAAGCATGAGATGTGTGTGAACCGAGGTAGAACGAAACAAACAGTACTAAGAAAACAATATACCCACAATGTCTATAACAATATAAACTTAAGGGAACAAAAGAAAATGCAACTCCTCTTCCTTGTACAGGCTGAGGGAACAAAGGCTCAGAATGCCGCACATTTTATCAAAATATATGCAGAATTCATGTATATATTATCAGGAACCTAGATATGCGGGTTTGTTATGGGAATGGCTCCCGGGGGAGAGAGGTGATATATTCGTAAATGGAGATGATGATGCATAAACCAATGATTAAAGTCAAAATATGAGAGGACTGAACTAGATATTGACAATAGCAGCTCACACTTAGATAGGGCTTTACATAATACCATTTAATCCTATTCTGCGAGGGAGGTAAGCACGTTTAGTTCCCATTTTACAGATGAGGGCGCCGAGGTCTTCCCCCCGTAAAACGATGGGATGGATCAGGGGATCTGCGAGATCCCTTTCGGTTCTAAAGCTAGGATCGAGCCCGGGCAAACATACCTGCTTTCCCCGGGGGGGGGGGGGGGGGGGGGGGGGGGTGGGGGGGGGGGGGAATTGTGCCGGATGCAAAAAGAACAATTCCGGCGGGAGGAAGCAAGACAGGAGCGTGTGTAGGATCCGCGCCCCGACTCCCCGACTCTCCGGGGCCGCTGGAGCAGTACCGAGAGCGCTACGTCAGCCCCTGGTCTCCCCAACAGCTCGCCACACCTAGAGAGTTCAAATCTTCCGCCCGCTCCGAGATCTGCGCGCGCACCTCCCAGCCAATCCCCGAGCGCCTACTCGAAGCCCCGCCCCCAGACGCCTCCTGACCAATCGCCGTGCGCCTTCCAGACAATTTCCCTTCCCCCTCAACCGCGCGCGTCTCAGCCAATCTTCTAATCTAGTCCGTCGACCCGCTCGCTGTGGCGTCACCTGCAGCTAGGCAGGGCCCAAACTCAAAAGAGACTGGCGGGACTCGGGATTGGGCGCGTCTTCCGAGCCAGCGCGAGTCGGCTGCGGATTGGCTACCAGGTTGCGGCGAAACCAGAGCTAAACTCCGCCTTCCGGGGAAATCGGATATATGATTGGTTCGTGCTTTGGCCATTCATCGCGTCCGCCTGGACCTCGCCCTTCTCACGCCTTCCACCCCGGGAGATTTAAATCTCCACACGCCTTCCGCCCCATCCCGCACCGCCCTTCTCCGCCCTCACCGGCTTACTTCTTTTGAATGGTACCTGGGAAAAATACAGTGAGTGCAGGTGAGGGGTTCTGGGTTGTTGGGTTTTTTTTTTTCCTACCTTCTTTTTCGCCTTCTTATCTAATGCACGGACTTCTCACCTTTGTGCTCTGCGAAGTGATGCCATGAAATGGAGAATCTGCTTTTGGAACCTCTGGGATTGAGGAGAGAGAGGTGTGTATTGGGGTGCGCAGGTTCCCAGACCTTCCTTGGAAGGGAGCAGGGGAACGAAGTACTTTTCCTGGCTGCTGTCCAATTTCAACAATGTAGCCTGATGTCTCGATTTTGCACCTTTCTGTGCGCTAATCCCGTATGGTACTGTACATGATTATCTCTGTTTGCGTCGCCCTACGAGACTGTAGTTAAAAAAAACATCCTGAAAGGAAAGGATTGTGTCTTATCTGAACTCGATCTCCCCCAGGATCTGCATACAGTAGGTGCTTAATAAAAGTCTAACGTTTGTTTGAACCTCGAGGATTATGGGAGGGTGTGCTAGAGATGTGCACAGTAATTCAATCTGGCTGTCTAGGATCCAGATGCAGGATGTGTTTCTTTGGGAAAAACAGAGCAGCCACCTAGTCATTCTGATACTTTCTTTACTTATAGGACCCATATCCCTCAAAAGAAGATGCTTGGGCTTGGGAATTCTTCCTCTGGAGTGAAGATGGTGAGTGTGGGAGTCAGCACAGAGCCCAGCCACAGAAGGTCCAGTTATAGAGTCTGGCAGATGGGGTGAGTTGGCCTTCGTTGTAATGAGATGTTTAAAAATATTTTACGTTTTTCATTGCCTATAGGACATCTATTTCTCCACAGGCAGCAGGTAGAAACAGATGAGACTGTTCTTCGAAGGAGGCAAAAGCAGATAGACTATGGGAAAAGAACAACTGGTTACCAGTGCTTCTTGCAGCAAGTCCCTAAGTAAGAGCAGAGGGTTTGGGGATGGGCAACATTTATCTTTTGAAGAACTGGAGGCAATGTCTTTAACCATGAATAGTTATCAGTTAATACCAAGCTACCTTTGACAGTTCATATTAGAATGCTTAAGAAAAATTAGGCAGCCTATCATTTAATCCTGCTATTTTCCAAACATCTTTAAGCATTCTCCATGGTCTATAATAACTTGTTCTGATCTTGTCAATGGCTACCTTTTCTTTCTAGACATTCTTACCACTTGCCTTTCTGCATCTTTATAAACAGAGGCTTCCATTTAAAAAATGTTTATTAGGCTAAAACTTTCCTAGCCTCATCTTGTCTCTTCTCTCAGACTTTGAACACGAGTCAGTACATTATTATTCGTCAGTAAGGGAAAGCATTTTAGAGGGGTTCAACCTTGCAAGCAGCATGGTGTAATAGAAAGAATGGTGGATTTTGAGTCAGAGGACCTGAGTTCAAATTCCGGCCTTGTTTACTGTAATCTGTGTGATCTTGTGTACAAGTCATTTAATCAGCAAGTGTTTATTAAGTGCCTACTAAATATTAGGCAGAAATGAAATAGTACATTCCCTCAAGGCCCTTCTATTTTGAAGACCAACATGTATACAAAACTATATGAGATAATTTTTTTTTTGGTGGGGGGAGTTGAGAGGCATAAAGACTTCATGTGAAAGGTGGCCTTTGAGCTTTGCTTTGAAGGAAATTGGGGATTCTCAGAGGCAGTGGTGAGGTGGGCGTGCATTCTAGGGATGGGATATGGCTACTACAAAGGCCCAGAGCTCAGTCTCAGCTTTATCAGCTATAACATGAGGGATTTGGTCCAAGCAATCTCTGAGGTGTACCTTTCAGCTTTAAATCTGTGAGCCTATGAACATCATTCTAAAGTCAGTCTCTGACTCCTGCAAACAATTAATAAACTATGTCCAACAATCCTGAAGAATTCTTTCTTCTTCAACTAGGCTGGTTTTTCAACCTTGCCAATAACACAGGAGCACTGAACCCATCCACTATTTATAGGCGTCTTTGACCACAGTTTAGGATCTTCATTTTATCTCTAGGGCAGTACGGCAGCCAGGACTTCACCCTCAAACACCTGACAAAAGCCGAAGGTACAGCCGACGTTCCTGGGATGCCCAGATCAGAAAATGGCGACGAGCCCTACATGCTTGGGACCCCCCCAGTCAGCCTTCGTTGTACAAGGAGAGTGATATATGTTCTTCTTGTACCTGGCTACAGTGAGTTGTGGGATTTGGGTTTTAAACCTTCACTTCTCTTGGCAAGAGCAGCTAGGGTATAAGGAGAGAGAAAGGACCAGGGCCAAAGTTTCTTAATGGAGTAATTGTGATGATACCTGAACCCTAGATTAATCTAAGCCTTTTTCTTGCTCCCAGTTCTGACAACAGCTAACTAGTGGGTCTGCATTGGTCTTGGTTTAATCTTCTTCTGTTTCTGTTTCTTCCCCTAATAAAGTACACTTTTGCTAGGCAGGGAATGGAGAATCTTTCAGGGACCATGGATTCAGGATCTTCAGATGACTTCTTGAAAGACTGGCTCAGTGTTCTGACTCCCCTGTGGAACCTAGATGAAGACCAAATGAAAACCCAGGTAGGTTCCTCTGATAAGGTCCATAGGAACAGTATCAAAGGAGTATGTGGGTATATTTCATAATGAATATGGTTGAATTAAGGCTGAGTTCGAGCAGGTGTATATATACTAGGATAAGAAACTGGGGTGGGGGTTGGGATGGTAAACTGGGAACTGGAGCCACTAAAGTTTTCTTTTTTATGAAAAGCCAATGGAGTATTGGGAAGAAAGCTTAAATATAGAAATTAGACAAGGGTAGTGGGGGAGGGTGAGTAGCTCAATTAGAGCCCTAGTTTTAGCCTCTGCCCCATAAAGTTAAATTATGTACAAGCCTACTACCTTAAACTTTAGGAAGAATTGTCTGTTTAATACTTTACAGTCTGATCTCTACCAGAGTTTTACTTTTTGTTATAAAATGTTTGTGGTTATTCTCTAGGAGGGGGGAAAGGGGCATAATAAAGACCCAAATGAGTACCATTCTTCCCTCCAAGCTAGGCTGCCACCTCCTTTGAGTAAAACAGGGAGGATAGCTGTTGTCTACCAACCTCTTGAAAAGGGCCTCCTTCCCCTCTCTTTTCAGTTTGATATATTGGCTCTTACCACCTCACTTCCATGTCTCCAGCTGGAAGCTCCCTGTCACTGCTTGGGGGATGAAAGCTACCTACCACTTTCAGTATTGGGGGATGCTGAGTGTGCTGAGAAGACAAGGCCTTTAGAAAGTTGGTTCCTGAGGGCCAGGGAGGCTGCTCGGCTTTTTGGGGCAAAACCATCATTGACCCTTGATGAAGAAAATGCCCCCTACTTAGTTTAGTATACACTCCCTTACCTTTTTTCCCTTCTTTCCTATTCCTTTCCTGTTTTATAAACTTGCCAACCTGCAATGAGAAAATCCTTTCCAGTTAGCTCGAACTTGGGTTAAAATCACCCCTCTACCCCTTTGCCTCTCTTATGGCATGGCTATGGATTTATTTGCCTTGGCAGTTTCAAGTTTCTGCCCCTGTTCTTTTCCTCTATTTTAGCTTCTTTCATCTAGGCCTTTCTTTTGGAGGGGAGCTGAGTTTTAGTCTTAACTTGCCCCATTATTTCAGTCAGAAATCCTGTGGCTTTGGAGAAAGAATAGTCCTTTCCTCTCTCTGACCACTCCTGCTTTATGGACAAAGAAGGTCTTTGCGGGGTCTGACCTCTTCTACACAAAGAATGAAAAAAGAGGTTTGATAGAGGAGTCCTGTAGGCGCCTCCTCTCGAATATGTTGGGGGGGGAGGGAGAGAGGAAGCGCTGAGCTTATTATGATGTCATAATCACAACCCAATTACCTCATCCTGCTGTGACTGGAGGGGGGGGTGGAGAAAGCGGTGGAAGAAAAGAAGGGGCCCAGGCCCACTGAGTGTAATGGACATGCAGGCGCGACTTCGGGAGAAAGAAGAAAGGGCTGGGGATGGGTCTAAGGTCCTGGGATCCAGAGCGGGAACTCACCCCACCCTAGTCTCACCTGCTGCCCATGGTTCTGGAGTTCTTTCAAGCAGGCCCCAAGTCTGGCCAGCATTGGACTACAACTCCCATCTGCCCCTGGGTCGCAGACGAGTCCTCAGCGGCAGGGAAGAGGGGGTTTTTTCAGAGCAGTGGCGGTATAGGGGGAGATAGAAAAACAAACACCAGTGTGCGAGGCTTGTCCTGCTAGAGGTCGGGGTCAGAGAAGAAGGCTCGGGCCGGTCGGAGCAGGAACAATAAAGAGGGGGCCTGAGTTTGTTTACCTCTGTCTGTTCTCCCCACTGGCTGGAAGTTAGTTCAGCCTAGAGCGGGTCCTTTCCACCTGCCGCAATTCGGCGGGGGAACTTGGTGGGGAGCAAGAGTCCCTTTAAGGCGAGGTCCATCGGGGAGAGCAAGTGAAGCACCTTTTCCATCACGGACGCTACTGTTTACCAACAGTTTCTTGGGGAGGGGGAGGAAAAACCCCAGGGATTCTGACCCTCGCACGGGGCTTCGTGGCGGGTCCTGGGAGTGGGCAAGCTACCCCCCCCTCTTTGGCAGGGAGGTGATTGGTTCGCTCCGGCGTTATTTAAGGGCGCCGTGGGGCGAGTGGCGAGCTCAGAGCTGCTCCGGCTGCGGCCCTGGGAAGGGGACCGAGCTGCGGTAGGTAGTGGGCGGGCGGGCCCTAGGGGCAGGTGGCGCTGGGCCCCGGGGCGGAGACCTCAGCGGCCCCTCCCTCCCTCCTTCCCTTCCCAGCAAGCCCCTCCCCATGGCCTGGCTTTGCAGGCCGCCCCGTTGCAGGGAGCCTGGGACTGGTGGGGGAGGGGGCCGTTAGAGTGCTGTATCCCCAGACACCCCCCTCCGGAACTCCTTCACGGGCCCGGGTCCCAGGCTAGAAGACTGGCGTTAGGGGGCGGGTAGCGGCTTCTCTGACGTCATCCACCCCCATGGGGTCATAGGTCACCTCATGCCCCGCCCGTGGGTAAAGGCAGTGGCAAAGCAGGGATTGGGGGGGTAGTGTGTAATAGTCTAATTGTGGGTGAAGGAGAAGGGGTGGGCAGCACTCATCACACCCACCCCAGCTCTCTACCAGGGCCTTGGAGAAGGAAAAACTCCACCACCACCCCCGCCGTTTTAGTTCAGACTCTGACCCCAGTCTTGAGGGGGGGGGAATTGGGGGAGAAGGCCTGGAGTCCCCAGA